GCCTGTGCCTCTCTGTAAATGATACCTAAACTACAGTACTGTTTTTAAAAGAGACACGAGTCTTATGAAGCCTGTGTGTGTGTGTTTGCAGAGTGGCATTGCCCCTCGTATATTTTTAATTGGCCATAAAGAAGCCATGAGGAAATGGGTTTAACTGGTGGAATTGAGGTTAAATAAATAAGGCCTTTGATTAAACCTGCAAACCAGTATTTTTCAGGCCTCTCTTACCTATGTGTAACTGGCTTCCTGCCAATTCTCCATTATCTTAGGCCTGGTGAGGGCTGTGCAAGGTGGTTGTAGCTTGGAATTGGTTCATTATGGGAACACCAGAGCTAACACACTCAGAAATACCAGTTTCCATCATTCTCTCTCTCCTCCCACAGGGAAGGGTTTGCTTCAAAGCTGCTGAGAGTTCTTACTCACATTTCTGTTTACATTTTAAGGCTTTAAGATACATTTTCTATTCTTTCTTTTTTTTTTTCTTTTGTTCCTTTCTTCCTTTCAATTTGCTATAGGGCATATGTGCTTAATGGAGAAAGACAGAGAGAAAGAGGGAAAGTAAGAAAGCACCCACAAGGGCCTGGCCATGCCACAATTCCTTCTCTGTTCTTCTCTCAGAATTTGGGGCATATATATATATATATACACATACATACATAGCACATGCGCCCAGCATGTTCTTCAAGCCTTTGGGTCCAGAACTTGAACCTTGTAGCCATGTGAAATCAAGCCCATCCACCTTAACCACCTCGCCCTCTTGTTTTTAACACAGTAAAGAGCCAGTAGAAAATGTTTGTAACACTTTCATTGATGAAGTGACTTTATGGCTCAGAGGGCAATGGTCCATTCTAAAAATCAGTGGATTGAGAAAATAATGCACTATTTCGCCTTGTTGATGTGTTTTCTGTTTTTTGGAGTGATACCGCAATTCCCTTTACAGAAATCTTTTTCTTTTTTTTTTGGGAGAGGTTTTCACTGTAGGGCGCTTGCGCTCGCCAGACAGACAGAGATATATATAGAGACAGAAAGCAAGAAATCACCCCCCAGGAGGGATGGTCACGCCGCAATCCCTTCTCCTCCATTCTCCTCTCGGGATCTTGGGCACGCACGCACACGTGCCCGGTGTGAGTTTTAAGCCACCGGGTCCAGGACGTGAACCGCAGTCGACTACGTGGGAATCCAGCGACATATCCATTACGCTAACTGCTGGTTCCCCAGAAACCTTTTTGATGTCTGCTCCCTGAACTCAAGAATTACTTATTTTTTGAGTTCTCATTCATATTAAATAAGCCTCTAAATGGTTAAAGCAGACTAAGATTTAAGTCACTGAAACTATTATTGCTTAATCTTCAAAAAAAATAGAATGCCTATTTAATTTTTTTTTAAAAAAAAGAGAAATTTATAGTGATAATCCTTTCAGCCGGAGATAACTAATGATCGCATTTTGTGGTAATGTCTTTCAGACTTTTTTCTATGTACATTTGCTGCTTTGTAATATTCTGTTAAGTAATTATAGAATAGTGCTTTCTCATCTTAAGTTTCTTTCACATAAGTGCACAGTTGAGTCCTGGAAAACCCGTTTACTTGTGACAAAACCAGGATTGAGGAAGAGAGTGATTTGCTCAAGATTACGGAGAAAATAAGTGTTTCCACTGGCAACATACCCCAGGACTGCCAGCCCTTCCCCTCCCCTACACTGAGTATGCATTTCCTAGTGATGTCACTGTCGATACCTGTGATCGCGCCCACTCCAAGTTGCTTGTTTGCCCTCCTGAGGGTAGTTTCATGTGTTCTGCATCTGCAATAGACGTACCATTTGAGGCTCTTGTCATCAGGAAATTCTCAAAAAGTACAATAATCTTCTACTCCACTCTGTGAGTCATAATGTTACTCTCTAGGTGTCGCTGCAGCCATCATCTTCACAGCAATAGTTCCGTGACAGTTATTGGGCTGCCGGGAAAGTCATGACACTTTTTTTTTTTTTTTTTGAGAGATTTTTGCTATAGGATGCTTGCACTCGCCAGAAAGACAGAGACAGAGAGACAGAAAGTGAGAAATCACCCCCCCCAGGGGGATGGCCACGAAGCAATCCCTTCTCCTCCATTCTCCTCTCTGGATCTTGGGCATGCATGCACACACACCCAGCATGAGTTCAAGCCACCAGGTCCGGGACTCGAACCGTGGTCAACTACATAGGAGTCCAGTGACATAGCCATTATGCTAACTGTTGGTCCCATGGTGCATTTTTGCATAGAAAAACAATGCCATGAGTTTTCTGATGAACCAATAATAAGATATTTAACAAATGCAGTTTTATAGTATTTGGGACTTTTGGAAACAGACTTTTAAAATTACTTGTTCTAGGACCAGCAGTTGGCGTAATGGCTATGTTGCTCGACTCCCTTGTAGGTGACCACA